ACCCGTTTCATTTATTGTTTCAGAAACTTCCCTCGGCAGCGACGAGAATCTTGTGAAATGATGAAGGCCAGAATTTTTCTTCTGGGCCTCTCGGCTTTTCTGATGATGGAAAAAACGAGTGCTTGGGAAGACCATGGTCATCCATGGTCATGGGATAGAAGCTTTCAATGGGCTCCACGTTGCGATGATTGCTTGTCTCCCTGGATATATTTGCGAGCTCCGTTCCATTTCTTCGGCACGGTACACACCCGCCTTGCCATGAGTCCGAATGGGTACATTGTATTTGATGATTTTTTCAGCGAATACATGGACGTCTGTAGCGAAAAGGAAGACATGCCTCCCATCATAGCTCCTTTCTGGGCCGATGCTACAACCCTTCAATACACCGAGAATTGGTACCAACAGAGTACAAATAATCCAAAGATTTTACAGAAAGTGACTAACGACATCTTGTTGGCCCACCCAGAATTCCAAGGAATCAAAATAAGCTGGGTTTTCATTGCATCTTGGGATCAGTTAGAGAGTTTTCGGCCACTGGGCCAACTCAATGATGTTCAAATGGCTCTAGCCTCGGACGGTTTTTATTCCTTTGCGCTTTTTCATTACGATTACATCACATGGTACAGTGGGACTGTCGTCGGAAAGGACGCTGCGTTTGCCGGGTACAAGAACCCGTACAAGAATATATCTTTTCAGCTGGATGGATCTTGCACACCAGAAGTACAAAATTTGACGAAGAACTCACACACTGGTAGATTAGGAACTTATGTTTTCCGACTGGACAACCACAAGTTGTTTGGGGGAGCACCATGCGAAGACTTTGAGCCAGGCAGTGAACTGATATCAAAGCCAACCTCAGTGTCCGTCATGGGTGGTCAAGAAATTCAAATCCAAGGTCCCTGCTTCCAAAACGAAAGCAAAGTGTTCTGCACTTTCCACGATGCTTACCATGGCACCAAGCTCGAGACCATGAGGGTTGAAGCATTTGTGCAAGACAAGGACAACATCTTTTGCTTTGTGCCTCAAATGTATGAGTTGAACAGGATCAAGTATGAGGTCTCATTTGAAAATGAAGAACGCATCATGGAGTCCCACAGTGGGGCTATACAACTACTCAACCCGCAAGATACCAAGAACTCATTTACCATGAAGGCAAACGTGAAAACTGGAAACTTTCTCGTCTCTTGGGATAAGAACAATTTTCCAATTGGTTCTGAGATAATTTTATGTAGGTTCACTCATTGGGACAAGAACATCAAGGCTTGGGACCGGTTAGAGAAAGTGGAAACCCAGAGTCCAATACAAAACTCCGGTGCTGCTGAGATTCCAATCTCCGTATTTCTGCCTGGTAACACTTTGGCCTTTCATGCCACTCTGAAGACAGGAGACTCATGCACTCCACAGCACAAAGAAATCGTCTTGAATGGCAGGATTTCAAATCTTAAAGACCTGGTGGCGGCATCTGTTGATGGTAGTGAACAGGGCATCTTCTGGGGCAGGAACGTTATTTCTGATGCTTGCGGTATCAGCGAATTTCCCCCGTTGATTCCTGGAGTCAATGTGGAACATTGTCCACCTACACAGCGCCTTGCTGGAAAAGATTCTCGCTTCAAAACGTATTCAACGGAAGGACCCAATACCTGTTACTTACAGGTTCAGCCATTTGTTGATCAAACTGCTGCACAGCTGTGTTGCTATGGGGGAGATGGCGGCATCATGTGCGAACAGCAGGGATCAGGGCAAATGTCAAGTTATCCATTTCTTTTTCATCCTGAAATTTACCCTGAGTTGCATGCCCAATACGACCAACAAAAGCATATTGCGTGTTGTGCGATCGCTGAGAGTGTGGAAAGTTGCTCATCTTTTTTTGCTGTCCACCCTCCGGATTGCGGAGACAATTATGAGCCACCGACCAATAGCGGGGCTCAGGGTGACCCTCATTTCAACACTCCTGATGGACTTGATTACTCTTTCAACGGACAGGGAGAATACGTGTTGGCCAGATATGAAGAATGTGACGTTCAGGTCAGATTGGAGAAGTATGTTGAGGAAGGGGGAAATATAATCGATGCGTCTGGAAAAGGAACAGTTTTCAGCGGGATCGCTGTTCAATGTCTTGGAAATGAAATCATTGAGGTAAAGTTGAGTTTACTCAGGGACAAACTCGAGACATGGATCGATGGAGAAAGATTCCAGTTTCCAGAGGGCTTGAATGAAGTCAACATGCATTCAGTAGTCCTCCAAGAAATCTCTTCAGCAGACCAAGCCTTGCCTGTGAGCTACAGGGTGAGCTTACCCAGAGGGGCAGTCTCAATCTCTCTGACGCTGGAGCACAGAATGGTCAACATGATGTATTCTCTCGTCTGTCCAAGATTCGAGGGCCAATTGCGCGGTCTGCTTGGTAACTGCGACTTTAATAAGGAAAACGATCTGACCTCACGCACTGGCCAAGTAATCAATCCGACTGCTTCTCTGCGAGATATTCATTACAAATTTGGAGAGACTTGGAGAGTCTCAAAAGAAGAATCCCTGTTTACGTACAACACTTTCACCTACGAGCAAATCAACAACCTGGATTTTGTCCCATTGCTGGATGTCGAAGGTTCCATTCCAGCGGATGTTATCAAGATCTGCGAAGGTGTGAAGCAATGCGAGTTCGATTTTCTTGCAACTGGTGACAAACAATTTGCAAAAGCATCAAAAACTGCGAGAAAGAAGCTGGAGAGTGTAATCAAAGAATCGGATGCTTGGGACCGACGTCAGTGTCCAGAAATCGCAATGAAGAATGGGCATGTCACCTATGTTGGCATTCGGCGCGTCAATTCAACAGCCACAGTTCATTGCAACGAAAACATGGAATTAGTTGCACCGTCGGACATTGAGAAAGAAACTCCTACTGCTGCAAATTCTAGGAACACTACAGCCGTCGCCGTTTGTCAGGATGACTTGACTTGGTCTCAAGTGCCTTGCTGCCGATTAGAATGTCCAAGGGACGGCGTCCATATCTGGTTTCGAATTTCATGCAGAATGTACAGAATTATTGTTCAAGAAACTGTGGGTTGGTGTTAAGGAGGATCATCATCCAAGTGAATTGCATTCACTGCAGTTGATATTGATCACATGAAATGAAAGAGTTGAGATGATTACTGATTGTACTTTCATTAATGTGATTCAGCTTCATCAGTGCATATATAGAGACGCTTTGTATTAGCTAAGCTGAAACATATATCTAGACAAAATTTTCAAAATTAGCAGTACTAAATTACCATGGTGCATAATGAGCTGTTAAAGCCGTTTTTCAGTCCATCGTACATGTAGATGCAGTATTGTATATGTACATGCACATGCAAGCAGGAATAAATCACTAAAATGTTCACAAAAAGTCTCAATCTTTCTTTCAAGCAAGATACGCATAGATTTAGCTGAGGACAAAAAAAAAAAAAAAAAAGCTGCATGAATGCACAGTACAGGTAGTGTACCTCGCAATTTGACCTCCCACAATTCAACCATCCCACAATTCAACAGTCAAATTTGCAACTAGGTTGACTTCCAATTTGACCCTTGCCCTGCAATTCAACCTGCTTTGGGCAATTTTTTGTGTTTTTTACTGATAATTTTTAATTTAACAAAGTGTCTTGCAATTTTACTGCTTTGGAATTTGTCCCTAGTTTGGCAAAAGATTAGGGTCAAATTAAAAGTTACCACCTGTCAACTGTATATGTGCAATTGGCTTGCAGCCCACTTCTCCATTGCAAAAATGTATTAAAGCGATGCATTACAAAAAATGTATTCTCCCTTGCCACAGCATTGTGGATTGATTGGCAGGGACCATATGTAAATGAAATCAGGAATGTTTTTAAATCATCTCACATTGTTGACTCAGTACTGCAACTGCTGTACAGGTATTGCAATCTTGCAGATTGACAAAGGTTTCATGTTATTCATCTAGGAAAGGAGCAGCATATGTTGTCCAAACCAGAAAATTTTCAGGTCTAAATTTGTTGGTTTTGTTTTTATTCATTGGCGCACATGGCTAACGAAATTGAAATCTGTGGATATAACGTCCCAAACAATCTGAGAGTTCCATGAATGCACTAGTGAGCAAGAACTTTTTAGAACATTTATTTATCAAGATGAGATTATGAGAGAACAAACTGGTCAGTTTTTACTGCTGTTATCCTGACCATATACAGTGAGACCCCCACATGCAGACGCATTGAAATGCGGACAATTTGACTTAGGGACACTTTCCTTACAATTAAAAATGACCCAACCTGTGGACATTGACTCAACCTGAGGACATCAAAATTTTCAGAAAATCAAAATTTGCAAGCCAAATTACTCGGAACAGATATTCAGAACCATAAGATGGTAAGATCTATGTGACAAAAATTGTTTTAAAATTCTGTCATCATTTTCCCCTCCATTTAGCTAATTTTAAAAATTATCTCAAGCATAGAGATTCTCAAAAAAGAAGGGATTTCCTTCTCTCTTTTTGTCTAATTTCATTTTTTCAGGAAATGCTAACATCTCAATGTTCAATAGTGTACAGAGTTACAGCATTTTTACTTAGACATTTTTCCTGGATGTTCCTCAGAAACTGTTGAAAACCCTTATTCTCAACTTTTTGCTTGACAAAAACCTAAGTTTTATAAGTTAATTTCAAGAAGGCTAGATAAAAAAGTGGAAAATTTCCTCTAAGACAAAAACATTTGGAATAATCAGGAATGTGCCAACTGTAGAACTCAAAAAGAAATAAAAAAGATGCAACAGCTGGAGAAGAAAGGAAGAGAAGAGAACATTTGCTGAATTGATGGATCTTTTAACATTCAGCAGAAGTAGCACAGAAATTGTACATTTTGTGAATTTTTTATGTCCCCAATGCTCCAAATTTTATACACGAGTTGAAAAACACTGATTTAATAATTTTTTCATCAGTAGAATTTTTTTCCTCAATTTTAAAAAGGAATTTTGATCAATATTTATTTCCAGAAAACACCAATTAAAAATTATATATTGCAAGTCTATGGGAAAACACGACTTGACTTAGGGACACTGTTGATACACCAATTACATCCGCATCTTGGGGTCTTACTGTATAAAGTTTGGACACACCAAAATAAATGAATATTGTATTTGATTGCATATAGTTAAATAAATAAATATATATATATATATTCACAAGCACATGTATTTTTCACAACACAAATTATTCAGTCAAGACAAGTTTTTAGTAGATTAAGAAGTCATGCTAAAACATTGCAAGGCTTCTTGAGAACAATTGCAAGAGTCTCTACAATTCTACATCAATTCTGGAGAACACAAACTAAAGCAGGAATTATATATACCTTCAAGAATTGGGATAATATGAGAGCTTTGGAGTTACAAAACATATCTGGGTCTCATTATGGATGCTGTGTTCCAAAGAACCTACTCACGTTCTAATTATAGAAGAAGAGAATGTGGTAGGAAACAGTGATTGCCAATTGTCACTGTCAAGTGTCAACAAGAGAGGAAAAATAGCAACACATGTATATATGGGAGATGAGTTGCAAGTTAATGTAGGACAACATAAAAAATCATCAAACCAAAACAAGAAGGAATAAATGCCTGGGAAAAACCTTGTTCCTTTTTATCTTAAAAAAAAGTTAATTGCTAGGGAAACTTCGAAACAAATCATTGTGTAGTTTGTATGATAACAACACTGCGTTATTTTCTTCCTAACCATTCAGAGCTCAACCTAGACGCATGAAGAACAGAAAAACTTCAGGAGTACAATTTAGAAGGCATTCGGGTGAACATCCCACTTCACCTAAAGGGAATGCTTCCAGAAGCAACTTCAATTTAGTCCCTACATGTTGATTAATAAAGATTCAATTCAAAACGCTCAAAAGTCAGAAAAAGGTGTGTCTGGTATTTTTATCAACGTTGTGCGAGTGTTCTGTCGAAGTGATTGCAAAGAAGAAGAATACCTTTTGATTCCTCGCCAGGACTCAAATAATGTGGGCATCATGCAGACGAAAAAAAAAAAACATAGCATTCTTCACAATTGTAAAGGACAACAAGAATGTGCTTGCATAGGGGAATAATTCACATACTGTATTCTTCAGTCAAGTTTAACCATCACGTGCGTCTATCCTAATTTGTGCAGAAATCCCGCTTCTAATGAATTGTAAAAGTTGGCAATATTGCTGTACATGTAATCAAGGATTCATGGAATGACCAAAGTTTCCGCAATTCAGATCCGCGCATTCGGGATGGTCTGCTTTTTATTTAATACGGAATCCAGAGAATTTCATCTCGGTTGGATTCGCAACGATACTTCCCAAGATGGAAACGAAAACAGATTCTCCCTCGTCCAATTTAGAGATGGCGTCAATTTCAACAGTGTGTTTATCAAACTTTCCGACTAAACCCGCAGCTAACACAAGGTCCGGTTTCTCAATCCTCGCCTGGCCCAGTGTTCCATGTCCTCCGAAGTGCAAGAAGAAGTGGTATAAGCCGGCCTGAGGAGCGATGAAGGTTCCATTGGTGCTGTTGAATCCATTGCCAAAATTCCAGTGAACGGTTTGGAACGGTACAAGTTTCCCTGTACGAAATGAAAAAAAAAAAATAATTAACCAGGAACTGTGAAGCCAGGATATTGGGTATGCAAGTTGACAACTGGTGTGAATTCGTTTCTCTTTCGTGAGTAAACTTGACTGTCATTTCGTTTCAACATTAGAACCCATGTCTACCAATCTTCCTGTATTTGATGGGGCATTCGATAAGTAAGCAACCAGCAAATACAGCCTCAAAAAGTTTCCTCTCGACTGCCTTAGCTGGCAGGGAATGGAGGAGGTTTCTGTATACTTGAAGTGATTTTATTTATTTGGACTTATTTTCGGACATTTTGTATTTTTTTTAAATTGTTGTTTAAAGTAATCCCTCTGCTGATGTCACATACATTCAAACCCCTCTTCCGAGGATTCTTCAAAGTCAATTGACTGTTTTTATCTTTGGATATCTTCCGTTTTAATATTTTCTTTCTCATTGGTAACTTTTCAAAGTGAGTTGAAGAAAATGACGAAGGGTGAAGTATACCCTGAGATTTGTTTCTTGAGTTTTCATCATGCAACCATTTGAACTCGTCCTTTAGCTATCACAAGTTAAACTTGTTTATATTCAGGATGTGTTTTGCCAAGTTTCACCCTGGTTTTGGGGCTGAGTTTTTTGCACTGTGGGAAATTAATTTGAAAATTGCTTTAAAATTTCGGTTTTTGGCCATTGTGAACTTCGCCAATTTTAACGAAACCCTATACATCAACGTAGACTGCCAATGATGTCAAAGTGCTTGTGGAAATTTTATTCCCGTTGCCTACAAGGATAAAAATAAGCTCGACGTTTTGCAAAATACTTGCAACCCAAACATCCAAAATGACAATTAAATCCAATTGTTCCCTTCGTAAAAGTGATTACTGTAAACACATATTCCAACCCACTTCCAATAAAATCTTCGTACTCACGCTCTGCTGATGTGAATTGCGAGCCAATTAAGATTTTTTTTTCTTTTTTTGGGCTAAACCATAAAAATTTAAAAAATCTTTGACTCATTTGCAAGGCACGCGGCCTCACTTTTTTGTGAAATATTTTTCAATCTTTTCTTGCCGCAGAAAAAAATCCTGCGTTCTTTATTCTTGTCACAATTTCTTCCTAATTATTTCCAACCTGCCAGAAGCCCACATGGCTGACTGCCTGGGTTTTTCCCTTGTCACTTCGTTGTGTCCCAGCCCTACACCGCTTACAATAAAATATTCTTTCTCACGCTCTATTGATGTGAGCTGAGACCTATAATTAAGACATGTTCATTATTTCTTCGGACTAAACCAGAAAATGGGCAAAGTCTTTGACTTGTTTGTAATGTGTGAGACCTTTTTTTTTTTTTTTTAGATATCAACTCAATCTTTTCTCGCCACTGAACAAGAATTCCTGGTTTCTTTATTCCTTTCAAAATTTGTTCCTGATATCCAACCTCGGTCAGCATTGTGGGAAGAATGTAAAATGCTCACATTCTGTAGGAGACGTCATATAGTTCTTGGGTATATTTGCCACGGAAAAGGCAACTACATCCGGGTCCTACGGAAACAGGATGGAAATGACGCTTTTCACCGATTTGTTTATGGCTGGCAAGTGTTTGACTAGACCTCACTTTTGGATCAGCAATCAGTCGTCCATTGCATCGCCACCAGTTGTTGTGCAGAAAGCCAAGGGAATCCGAGTAATTGGCTGATTTAGAATCTACTCTCCCGTAATATTCCAAGGCGTCCTTTTTCATCATGCTCACGAGGTTGTGGCCAGCGATTGTCGTCGGGTCTCGGGGGTTTGAGTTCAGCACGGAATCGTATTCCTTGTGCCCCATATGCTTCAGAAAAAGCCCCTTGTAATTAGCCTTAACTGTGATATCGTGCATCAATCCTCCGAAGTTGAATAAATAAATGCCGTCCTGTGGGGCTACGAAGTATCCAAGGGATGGCTTGAGCCCATGTCCGACATTCAGCACCACCATTTCTGGCCGGAATCCTCAAAAGAAAGTAGACAGATACCAATTTAAAATCAAGGAAATACAGTACTCGTATATTTTATAAATTATCTGTTACAACAACGGTTCCTTTGACAGTAAACAGTAACAAAAATTAAGAAATTCCAAAACACAAAAAAATGTTGGAAAAATGCGAGAAATTTGCCAGAAAAAAAACCAACATGTGGTACTGAATTGTGCAGCTTTTTCACATGGTTTTAAGAAAATGTGCGTAAGGCGTTCCTTGTAAGACCTTGAGAATTTTTTATTCAGCTAAAAACGCGTCAAAGGTCTACTTCTTCATCAAATAATTTCACGTGACCAGCAGTTCATATGGATTACCTAGAATTTCTCGGAAGATACAATTTTCATGCCATATTAAACAGCAATACATTGAAAAATTCAGTTATTCCGAAAGTTTAATTAAGTTGAACGCCAAATTATCTCCAGCAGAAATCTACGGAGTATCGAGATCTCTATTGGATTTCCTCAGTGCTCTGCTGCTACGCGAGAAAAATTAAAACCATAGCCATTTTATGAGACCGTGGCCCTCAAAATTAGTCTTATAATGCTCAAGAAAAACAAGGTTTGCTCATTTATACCCTTTGGTTGAAATTAATTTAATGAGAATAATCACGGTATTGAAAATTCCTGTCATAGAGACTGAACCGTTAGCTTCAGCATTTACAATGAGCATTATCCTATAGTTTATAAGGCATTATTACTCATACAGTATTTGGGCTATGGAAAATTGAAAAAAACATTGGAATTCAACAAAAATAAATACTTTTTGAATGTATGAAGGACAACGGAAGATGAAATTGCCCAATTGCACTGAAGACGATCGGGTTGTTCTGCGTGTCCTTCGAATCAGGCAAGTCGATTTTCTGAAGGTCAAAAGCGGTTAATCCATAAAATGTTCAGTTGTTTGATTCCAACAATACAAGAATCTCACGTTTCTTACCTGTTGGTTCGCGGGAGTTTTGCAATCACAAATCGAAATCCTCGTGATTAAAATAGTAACAGCGAAAGCGAGAACCGCTTCCCAATGGAATGTTGCTTTCTTCCTGTTTTTGGCCATGTCCGAACAGCGTGATAACAAATACTGTCTATNATTAAAAAATTCAGTGATTCCGAAGGTGTAATATTAAGTTGATCGCCAAATTATCTTCAGCAATAATCTGCGGAGCCTCAGGGTTCTGCAGCTATATACGCAAGAAAAATTAGAACCATAACCAGATTGTGGGACCATGGTCCTCAAATAAGTCTTATAATGCTCAAGAAGAACAATTTTGCTCATTTATACCCTTTGGTTGAAATTAATTCGATGAGTATTTTTATTTAAAATTCCTGTCACAGACTAAATCGTTGTTTCAGCAGTTAAAATGAGCATCGTAGAGTTTTTTATAAAGCATTACTCACACAGTATTTGGTCTACGGAAAATAAAATAAAAATTGGACATAAATAAATACTTTTCGTAACTGAGAAGAGCAACGGGAGATGGAGTTGCCCAATTGCACTGAAGACGATCGGGTTGTTCTGCGTGTCCTTCGAATCAGGCAAGTCGATTTTCTGAAGGTCAAAAGCGGTTAATCCATCAAATTTCAAGTTTTTTTTTATTCAAACAATACAGTATAAGAACCTCACGTTTCTTTCCTGTTGGTTCGCGGGAGTTTTACAATCACAAATCGAAATCCTCGTGATTAAAATAGTAACAGCGAAAGCGAGAACCGCTTTCCAATGGAATGTTGCTTTCTTCCTGTTTTTGGCCATGTCCGAACAGCGTGATAACAAATACAGTCTATGTGAAACCTATATTGTGTAAAAGTTTAACCCGGAGTTGACCTCGCCAATTGGTGCAGTTCTGTGCTCTGCGAACAACCGCGGACATTTTAAGCGATTTCTTCCAAATATAGTAGCTGAATGTAAAGAATCACAGTGTCACAGGATTGTGGCGGTCTAGAGAGTGTCGGTCATCCTGACGTCAAAATCGCACGATTCTAAAGTCATAACATGCGCCAATTACACAAATCACAGAATATCGCTGATTTATAGAGTCTTGGTCAGTATCTGACGTCAAAATCGCACTATTCTAAAGTCATAACATGCGCCGATTACACAATTCGCCGAATATTGATGATATTTTGTGCGCATCACAAACTCACCCTGATGAAATTTGCGCCTGTATGGAAGGAATTATCATTTGCCAATTTCTCACATTGAGTGCGAATAACTTGCATTACTTTTTTTTTGCGCAATAAAGAAGAAGGAGTGACGGATACGATCGCGGGAATCCGTCAATGACGTTTTGATTGAACGATCAACAAATTCTTGAATTGGCAGCAAATGCCCCACGCTTGGACAAAGTCATTATCTGCCAATTCCTCCCGAAAGCTTTAGGCGATTTCCAATTTGCATGATGGGATCAATACCTAAACTATAAAGAACTTAGAGAGTACAAGTAGCAATCTTTGATCCTTCACAGCAACTATATATACAAGAATGACTGAAGCAGGGAAGTAAAACTTCGGTTTTCAACACGATAAGCTTTTTTTTGGCTCTCATCATTGGAGTTCCAAGATCGAAGATGTCACAGAAAGATGCCCTAACGTCTCTTCTTGGACTCCTTTCCATCAATCAGTCTTGATTTTTAACTTCAAATACCGTATGTGACTGAATTGATCTTGAAAGGTTGTAAAAAAGTTTCCCAAAGTTTCGAGCCCCCGTCCATTTTTTCGACACTGTGCATATACCCGCCTTGTCATGAGTTCGAATGGGTACTTAGTATTTGACAAAGTTTTCATCGAGTTTATGGACGTGTGTAGTGAAAAAGAAGACATGCCTCCGATCATAGCTCCATTTTGGGCCGATGCTTCAACTCGATCGAAGGACTCGAAAACATTCTACCTGGAGAGCGTGAATGATGAAGACACTTATATGGGTGTAACTGAGGACATCTTGTTGGCCTACCCGGAATTCGACGAACTCGAAATTAACTGGGTATTCATCGCATCGTGGAATACGTTGGAGAGTTTCTTGCCGACTGGCCCAGTCAACGATGTTCTAGTGGCTCTCGCCTCGGACGGTATCTATTCCTTTGTGCTTTTCCATTATGATTACATCCAATGGACCCATGGGGAACTCATGGGCGAGGACGGTGCGTTTGCCGGGTATAAGAACCCGTATTTGAATATATCCCATCAGCTTGATGGTTCTTGCACAGCGGAAGTACGAGACTTGGCGTTGAACTCAAACACTGGTAGACCCGAAACTTATGTTTTCCGACTGGACAACCACAAGTTGTTTGGAGGAGCACCATGCGAAGACTTTGAGCCAGGCAGTGAGGTGATGTCAAAGCCAACCTCTGTGTCTGTCTCGGGCGGTCAAGAAATGCACATCAAAGGTCCCTTTCGAAGCATTCGTGCAAGACAAGGACAATATCTTTTGCTTTGTGCCTCCACTGTATGAGTTGAACAGGATCAAGTATGAGGTCTCATTTGAAAATGAAGAACACATCGTGGAGTCCCACAATGGGACTATACAACTCCTCTGCCCACTGCAGAACGAGAACAACTCATTCACATTGACAGCAAACGTGGAAACAGGAAACTTTTTTATCTCCTGGGATAGGAATAATTTCCTTTATTCCATGAACACATTTTTGAATCCTCCTCTCAAAGGGTTAAATTGTGTTAGGAACGTCAATTTATTGAAAAAAACAGTTATTTTTCTACTGAACGCGGGAATTATTCCAATGGTCAGATCAAATTGAAGCAGTCAATGACTATTGAATAAAAATTGCTTCAAAGTCCTCTGTCATTGCAATATTTGCTTCAAGTAATGTAACCTACAACGTATCCATTTGGACTCTTTGAACAATCAAGGATGGTAATTGTAATTTGTAATTTTAATTCTTTTAAACGCTTGCCTAATCAAAGTATCTACAGCAGAGTGGAGGTGTACCATAATTCCACTACCAACATCAATCATTTCTGGGCGTCTGCGTGAATCATTCAACAACAACAAAAAACACATTTATGATCAGGAAATTCTACTAGCGAGTGCATTTTATCCCATTCGTGAAGTCAAATTATGCGGGAATCCTGCCGTCGAAAAAAGCAGAATTCTTTGAATTATGAACAAGAAAAATGTTATTGCGAAAGTTGTGTTTGTGTTCGTGAAAAAAATCAGACATGGATCGCGAGAGGAGAAATTCAACACCACTGGCTGCTTTGAAAATTCAAATCCATTCTTGTCTATACTGTCATGCTGAAGCCTGTTTCCTTCGGCCATTTTACTTTCAGCCATCGATGATCAAATTTGTCCATCTTTTTTCAACCATCACCACGATCATAATGTGCAGAAATTAACCACGCACTGAATTATGCAACAGTCGAGCATGTCCACGTGTTTTACTTTTTAATTTCATCAGACGCGGAATCCTGAGAATTTAAATCCGAGAGGCTGTGGTGAGACGTCTCCAAACGCCCTCACAAAAACAGATTCTCCCTGGTCCAATTTTGTGATGACATCAATTTCAATAGTATGTTGATCGAATATCCCCAGCACTGCTGTAGCTAACACCATGTCCTTCTTCTCGATTCTCATCTCCCCCTGATCACCCCCGAATCCATCAAAATGCAGGAAGAAGTGATATAAGCCGGATTTGGGGGCAATGAAGGTTCCATTTTCTTTGTGGAATCCATCGCCAAGATTCAACCATACTGTCATGAATGGTACATTTTCCCCTGAAAGAAAAGTAAAAATAGTTAAATATGCCATGGTAAGGTTTTTGAGATTTTTTTTTGAAACTTGCTAGTATAATTAAAAGATGCAATCCACCTTCAAATTATTGCCACCTATACTTCTTGCACCGAATTTTATCAGAACACAGATATTATCCAATTATGTTTATGCATTGCCCATATATAGAACAGATTTAATGTATCCCACAGCAAAGGTCACTATATGCAATATAAAAGACAATTCCCTTACAACTTGGATAGTGTTGAGGAATTAATCAACCCAACATAAAAATGCTAGCAGAGTGTGGTTCACACACTGACATGATTTAGATCCGCAAAATCAAAATGGGCAATCAGTTGATGATAAATCACACACAGCAACTGAAAGTATGTTATACCATGCCCCTGAACACATTACAGGGGGCATGTTTGGTCCATTTCAGTGATTGTTTTCATAACAATGAACCAAACCCTCAATCTTTTGATTAATACCAATTATACTAAGGGACCCAGTCATAGATTCCATGCCATAACTTGCAGTTTGGTTTATCAGAAGGAGTGAGTTCATCAGACTCATGAATGCTGCACCCATGTGTGCTTGGGTGTGAATGGCTACAGCAGTTAGCCACATTCATTGAAAATTGCTCTGAATTGAATGATGCAGCATTGCATTGATAGAGTTTTTCATAAATTTTCAGATTATTTGAAAAAAAAACTTGAATTTTGGAAGAAGTGATTTAGAGAAGGTTTTCCATTCTCCTTTTCACCTCCGCAAATTTGAATTATTTGTAAGGTTCAAAACATTTTACGTGTGGAGAACTTCATGGTTCTTCGCAGTTGAAAATTTGCATTTTCATGATTAATTCAATTTTTTGCAAATTTTAAGAGATGAAAAATTGGGAGAAAAAACAGAAACAATAATTCAAAATTTTCATTTTAGCTTCTTTTAATTTTGTTGCTTCCAATGCAACTCAAAAATTATTTGCAGCATGTCTTGTACACTGACGTTTTAGAAGTTAATCTTTTTTTTTTCATTGAAAAATTCTGAAAATTGGAACAGCTAGAATTCAAAAGGTAAAAACTTTTTTTTGTGTACAATTTTCAAAAAAGTTGTTAAATGTTGGTTGTAAATTTGTCAAATTCCCAGATATTTGCATGTTAAAAAATAAAATTCAGAAAACATCTTTGCAAATACAAAGCTTTAAAACATTTGAACATTGGTTCAAAAATGCATTTTTCACAAATTTTTAGTCTGCAAAACAGACGGCAGTCCATAAGATCGGTTACAGTCCGTCAACCCTGTGGATTTTTGGAAACAGAGACAGTCTGTAGCTC